CTGGCACTCTCCAGACTGTAACTGTATTGAGCCATGCTGGTTCTACATGAAGAGAGAGACTACAAAGAAAGGAGCTCCACAGTCAAGAACGGAGGCAACTAGAATCTGGCTAAATTGCTGGAGAGATCTCCCACAAGCTAAGATCCAAGCTTGGATTGAGCGTATTCTTATACATATTCCAAAGATAATTGAGCTACAAGGTGGTAATGAGTATATAGAGGGGAGAGATAGGCGTTGTGTAGGAGAGCGGCCAGATTTCGGCTAAATTATTCTTGGCAGGACAAAACTTTTGTGAGGCACCTCCGTAGTAGCTCGTCTAATAATCCAATAGGCTTAGAAGTTCCCTAGAGTTTTTAGCGCTAAGCTAAGTGCCACTGCCAAGGGTCTAATCCACGAGATAACCTTGAAAAACTCTGCTATCAATCTCACGTAAGCAGATCCTAAAAGTTAAAATCCTTCTCTTCTTACTAGTATATTTTATCGCATTACTAATAATAAAACAGTTCCTTATTCAAAAAACTATTTCTTTGACTTAAAAGAATTGTTTAGAGGTAAAAAATTTAAAAAAGTTACCTACTAAAACTACTAAACTATAAGCTTTACTTAGATTTATGTAACCCTGTTCCCTACCTACTTAATTTATATCTAGATTAAATCTAGCCTACTTCAATACTTGTAGGCTGAATCTACACGTCTTATCTAACCTACTAGCGAAGAAAGGACATTAATCTAGAATAATAATAATAATAATATTAATCATAATAATAAGAGCCTGAAACTTTCTCCATGTCCAGCTGACTGTACTAGTACATACTAGGAAAGGTTGGGACTTTACTTAGGATAAACTTTCAACGGCAATTAAATCAACCCAGCTTTGGGTTCGGTTCACTAGCCATTATAGACACGAGATGAGGTGTTTTGAAGGAGGTATACATATCTAAAATCATCTATAGTAGCATGATAGAAATAGAAATTTCTCAAAGAGTTATTTATAACTACTATCGCTGTCTTTTCCCCTAGTTAAAACTAAACACAGAGCTTAATAATTACCCTACGTTGGAAACTGATTGTTTTTATTACCACGTGGGTAAAACCTATATCAACAAGCTAATAAGCTTGCTTGGGCTTTCCAGCCCCATGCAAACCCTAAAAGATTGTTCCATGATTTTAGCAAATGAGGGCTCATATTATAGAGCATACATTAACGACGATCTTAAGTATCTACGTCTACCCACTTCTATTGATACAAAGCTTGAATAGGTTTAGAACACAATTGTTCCTTATCATGAATCAATCCATAGCAACATATCAATTATTAAGAGATTGCTCAAGGGATAACTAATATATAAGGTGTCTTCTTAGTCTATGTTTGAAGCTCTCATCACATCATATATGCATCTTATTGAAATTACAAGCTTAAAGCTTAAGACACTTTACAATTCTTCGAATATTAAAATTATAAGACATAATACATACTAGTTAAAATGAAAGGTACACTAATACCTTCCATTATTAATAGGTATTAAGGAAAGGATTACTAATTATAAACTATAGGACTGATATATATTACCTTTACAATATCAAGATTACTTATAGCTGGTGCAACCCCGATTTCCCCATCTGAAAGTAAAATTAGGAAATATGGAAATGATGTTGAGGCTTGCGTAGCATGCGGAGCCAGTCTTGGCTTCGCACATCATGCGTGTCAATGTTGTGAATCATGGAACCCACAGTACTGCAAAACGCCAAGCTAGAGCTAGAGCTGGAGCTGGAGCTGGAGCTGGATGGTAAGGGTGAGGGCCAGGGCTATTGTACTGGGTATTGTCCTAGATATTATCCTAGATGATGTCCTGAGTATTGTCTATGTAACGGCGCGAGCAAGACTAGTTAGATCTAAACTAGTAGATGGTGTTATTTAAAGGCAAATGGAAGTGTATAGGATAGTAGAAACACCTTTGATTTAGTAGACACTTATAGGTCTAGTACAAAAGGATATGAAAAATCTACTAAACATCCTCTTAGGAGCGCTTAGCCCTTATACCTCTAGGTACTAGTCTAACAATAATTCAGTTTGGATCTTGTTTGGATCTTGTTTGGATCTGATAATCTGCCTTACTCGGTAGGAAGTGAATGCATGTGTTACAGTCTGCGCTCTTTCCTAGACTAGCGAATGGGTAGAGGTAGAGTAGGGGTAGGTTTATCTTATATAATACCCAACTCTACTTTTACTTAAACTTATTACACAGTTTTTGAGTATAAATAAAAATAATATTACTAAAACTTAAGTAAACAAAAATTAAGTTAATTAAAATTAAGTAAAAGTAAAGTTATATTAATAGAGAATCAAGTAAAAGAAAAGTCAACTATCTAATAATTAACTTTTAGTATGTTAAGGTTTAAGTTCATGATAAAGATTTATTATTCTTCTATTTATCTACTACTGAATTCTCTCAAGCGTTGATTTTTAACTTATTATAATCATATCAAACTTTGTTTCTTATTATATAAATATAATATTTAAAAGATTTAAGCCAGAGCCTTTTGTATCTCGATAAAGAGACTTATTAGTAGTATCATTTTTAAAACTGTACGCGTCAATCAGAGTTATATCAAGCCTATGATAAGTATAATTATAAAGAATCGCTACTAAGTTTATTTTAAACTATTATAATTTCAAACTAATACGCATGATGGAATGATATATATAGAAATTCATAAAAATTTTTTGCAGTATTGATACTACATAATTATATCATCAACCACAGCCTTTTTGTTACACGGGGTTCGGCTATACTTCTCTGGTCTCGGTCCGGGTTAGGGCGAGTAGACTAAAGCGGTAGTCCGTGAGATTGTTTGCGAAGTGCTATGTGGAAAAGAGTTATAGGATTTAACCAAAGAGTAAACAATCAATTCTACTAAGGTAGAATAACTAGTATCAATCTGGGTAAGAGATGAACTATTGAGAGAATTGACCACAACGAGTGTAATAATGAAATCCAACACATTCTTATACCCATTGTTCTCGGTCCTGACATCTGTGGCATCTCTAGAAAGGCCTGGCATCTACAGATGTCCAAGATGTCCTGGCATCTTGCGATGTCGTGGCATCTGCCCTCTTGGCGAGATGTCTTGTCTTGGCGGGATGCCGATCACGTGATCTTCGCCCCGCGTTGATCATTACCTTCTGACGTGGACATCCATAGGTCCTCTGCCACTCGTCCCGCGTCAAGGAATCCTTCTTGTTACTTGTAACATT